ATTGATCATGAAAAAGACTGACCAGGAAGGTATGATATTCGGTTGTGTCATACTGCATTCGCCGTTAAGATTCGGCTTGATCCCTCATTTTTTGGAAGACTTCGAAAAATATATATTCCATACCGCGATCTCGGGTACTGTTGTTGCTCACTCTTCCAACATGGGACCGTTGACCGTTTGCCCAACTGTTCAAGTGAAGCATATTCCAGACGATCGACTCAAGTTAGTCATTTCGAAGAAATGTGGCTCAGTTCTAGGGATGGAACCACTCATTAATGATGCTGGGAAATGCGTCAATCTTTGACAACAATGGGAAAGGATACAGTATGGAGTAGGTTCTGCGAAGTTGACCTATTTTTTTTAGACCGGGGCCAAAACAACTCCGTAAAATAGTATGTATCTGATAAGATATCGTAAGATGCATAGTTGAATTTTCCCATAATGAATGAGTAGACCCTTACTTTCTTTGCCCTCTAGCAGCAAGCTTTTAGGAAGAAAGACAATGTGAAACGCAACGACATTTTGAGGTCAATTAAGTTCTGGTTGAGAAAACTCAACTATTCTATTTGTTATCGTTCGAGAAATAATTACAACCAATAAACCTCCACATCACATATTCATTGTTATTATTTGCACAAAGAAATAAATTACTGACAGGTTTCGTAAATAGCGCACAAACTTTAAGTCTTGTCTCATCGATACTTCATCTAGATTGACCTACCAACTTCTAAAGGTCAAGAAGTTGACGCTAAGAGAAAGTACATCCTTATCGAGCCTATGTTCCTTAATTCTGCAGCTTGCAGCATGGGATAAAGTTTTTAGGCCTCCTGAATTAATGGTACTTTTTTCACGAACGTCGAACGCCTAGTTCACAAGAAATCTGGTCTCTTTCAAGACACCTATTGTGTATTATCTTATCCACTTTAGGTTAGTAATTGTTGAATGAATGGTTTTCCCGCAGTGTTTCGAGTTGGTCTCTCTTGAACTTGCCTGTCATTAGGTTGTACCTCCTTAACTGGATTGCAGTTTCGATTTCATTCGGGTTTCGTCAGCAGCACTGAGGGATTCGAAACCATGTTGTAAAGATCGTGGAGGCCTGTGAGTCGCGGGATAAGACAGACCACTCATAGTCCAGATTTTATAAAAAGAATGTCGATGAAAAACTGTGTATTGGCCATTGTATCAAGAGATATTGCTTATATTCGGTGTAAATAATCGAAACTCTCAAAAATTCTTGAATGGCATCTTGTAGCCCACATATGAAATCGCGATAAAATTCGACCTCAATTCCATACATGATCTCAAGCAACCTAGTGAAACAGGGTTCTTTAATTTGAACTGTTAGGCATGCAACCACTAAATAAAAATATAATCGTATATTTTACTGACAAAAACATATTTTTCACTCGAAAGCCCCACTTTAACTGTGATTTAAAACGTCACATCTTCCCGGTGGGCCATTGACATCCTTAGATATGTAGCGAAGTAGCAAGGTGTCGATACGATGCCCGAAATGTAGTTTTTAATCCCACGAAGTCTAGACTGCAGTCCAGGCGAGATTGAATAACCTTTTGTAAAACAAGACTAATTGAGACTAAATTTCACCGTTCGAACATTTAATTTTCAGTCCTTAAATCGTCATAAGCAACCTAAAGTGACTACGCATGTATTCAGGTTCGGGGTGCTAAGCCATTAGCTGTTTGACGTCTTTTTCAGGGTTCGGCTATCCAATTCTTCCAGAAACCTATTTCAGATGTGCGTAAGACCTAGCGTGGACCTCTAAATTATGAAACCACTCAGAACATCAACAAGGATCAATTTCAAAAGCCGCCGATGTTCCTCAGCAAGAGCCTTGCGGGAATCGTCCCGAAGACTGATAAAAATTGGCTTCTATTTGTCTCGATGCTGGACAAAGAGTAGTTCCTATTTTGAATGAGAACAATCCTTTCCACTTTGTGACGCTATGCAAAACTGTCAAGTCGTTCAAAATAGGCTCATGGGCACGTCATGATGAGTTCAGTTGGCGATCCCTAAGCTCTTCTTTCTATTCACTTAGAAATGTGTAAATTTGACTACCACATTTCTACAAAGGCAGCATCTTCAGTCCCGACGTTTAAGCAACTTTCATAATATCCTTTTCATGTGGCATGAATACATTTCATGCTTCAGCTAGTCGCATATGTTTAGTAAATCTTAAAATCAAACATGATGGCTAATGAGGCATAATGCCATTTTTCCTGGCTTACTGTTTTCACCTACTAACAGCAAAAGCACCGAGTAATTGTCCATCTGAATAATGTAGCAATCAAAAAATAGCAAAAACAAAATTCTCTGTAAACATCATTTTTCATAAACATCTTAAAGATACCATCAGAAAAAACCCCTTTAGCGTGTCAAAAGGCCACGCTCTATTATCTTTGATTATTGGTACTGGAATGCTGCGTCCACCATAACCTAAGACATAATCTGCAACACAGTAGAGTTATTAATTCATAATAAAGAAGCAATTTGTTTCCTGAGGCCTAATCTGCATGCGGCTACTAATAGATGAAAGCAATTTCAAAACCATAGAGATATCTCAAATTTGCGAAAAACCACATTAGAGCGATGAAAAATGCCAAACTTGAGTCTAAATCCAAGCGTATCCCCGGCAACTCAACTATCTGTTAAGTCAAAATCTGCTGGCGTTAGAGTACCATCCAGTTCGTTTGGAAGGGATTCATGAGTTGGCGAGTAGGTCCTCGGCGACTCCAATGAGTCCTTTGCCGAGCTTTCGTCCGTCATGTCA